TTGCCGGTAAATATCAACATCAACATATTTGCAAAATTATCGGTGTTCTTGTATTTGCGATATTTGATAGATACATTTTTGGTTCAGGTAGAATTGAGCTGTTGTAGCGCAAAATGGACCTTGAAGATGAAGAACTATTCATGTTTAATCTTATTTTGATTTTACGAAACCGTAACCTTCCCGAAGATGAAAATCAGGGTAATAATCGTGTTTTTCTATAGAAATAGAGCTATGGGCTATGGTGGTACAGGTTAGGTCGAAAAGTTCACTTATTAGCATTTTTGAATGTTGCAGGTCGGCCTTTCCCCTTGGTGGACATTGAATGGTGGTGGAGGTTGGGTGATCCTATGTTCAAAACACACTTCAGAATGTCACGCATCACATATGAGGTAAATTTTTATTCTTCCATTTTTCCATCATTGTTTGTTGCAACTTTTGCGTTACTTCTATTTAAGAACCTCCTTATTTTGTTCTGCAGACTTTAGTAGTTGTTGTGGGCCGCCACATGAGGGAGACAAATCGTTTGGACTACCCAGGCATGTATGTTGATAAGTCGCTGATGATGACACTGTGGATACTCGCTACTCCTGACAGTTTTCGTTCTGTAGGAGTTAACTTTGGTCTTGCCAAGGGTTCAGTACATAATCAATTTAAGACAATTATTGCTGTCCTTCAAGAAATAAGTGGGCGTTACATTCGCTGGCCCTCTAACCAGGAAATGGCCAGCATTGCCAGAAATTTTGAAACAAAGTATGGCTATCCCAGTGTTGTAGGATGTGTGGATGGGTGCCATATATATATATAACTGCCCCTGTAGAGCAGCCACAAAGATATATAAACAGGCATCACAGTTACTCCGTAATTCTTCAAGGGACCTGTGATGACCAACTGCTGTTCAGAGATGTTTTCCTTGGCCAGCCAGGCTCTGTTGGCGATAATAGGACCTTCCGAAGAAGTCCATTAGGATAACATTTGCTGCGCAATTAAAACTTCCTTAGAGAGTACCACATTTTGGGAGACGGTGCTTACACCCTCACTGACAAAGTATGATTTCACATTTCTCTTAAATGCTGTCCAATTGTCCAAAGCTACAGTCTGCAT